CGTATTACATCTGTAACGGTTACAACTTTGTAACGGAGGGCCGACGCTTCGCATTGCGCACTTTTTACACAGACTTCAACTGTTTTAAGGCCATTTTATGGAGAGTTATATAGAATCGTACATACAGAGCAATTGAAAACTATTTTCCTTTGTGTGTGTGTCTCTCTCTCTCTCTCTCGCTTTTTCCTCTTTTTCTCTTTCTCCATTTCAACCTTTTCACCCGACTGAAATTCAATGCGATCGCGATCCCGTTTCATCATCATCGGAGATTGAAACCGATGTAATATCGATGAGTCCGATTTTCGACATCGTGCGCGGCGAACAAAATTGATCTTACCGTGATCGTCACGTTTTTCATGTCATGCGTTCAAAAAAAAAAAGGAAGGTAAAAAGAAATAGCACGGGAATCGTTCGCTCTCGCGTATCCAACATCGAAAATTTGAGCTCGTAAAACTCGGAACAGCATCAATCTCCGATGGTAGTGAAACTCGAGACGCGATCGTTCGCTCTGCCACGCGCAACAAGCTAATATTGCTCCATAGAAAAAGAATCGATCATACGAGAAAATAATCACTATTATTGTTATCGTAATTATCATCTAAGGGATAATCATCTTATCATCTTAGGGACTTTGTTCCATCTGCCGGACCACTTGACTTATTGCTCGAAGTTTCGCGATAATGTTGAATATACGTTTGTTCATTCGTTCGTTAAGACTCGTCTACGATACGCGGAGGAAGTTTGGCGTAAGTTGGAGTAAGAAAACAGATTTATTTCGCTTACGCCTCTTGAGTAAGAGAAACACTTCTGGTGTAAGAGAGCTAGAGTATAGACGCGCGTAAGCGTAATAAATCTTTTTTATTTCTCACTCCAACTTACGCCAAGCTCACTTCGCGTATTGTAAACGAGTCTTCACGTTCATCATTTTTCGACTGGTTAAGGGTTGACGCTTCCGTAGTTGAGAGGGGTAATTTTTGTACCCTGAATATTCTGTGTGAAATTTCTATCTTTTCGTATGGGAAGTATCGAGGAGATCTCTCTTCTTACCGATGAAGAGATACAAAATGATTTGTTCCTTATGAGTTCGACGCGCTTCCGATAATTTATCTTGCGAAGAAGAGTTACAGAAGGATATTAAAGATAAAAGAGTTTTCTTTCTGCGATACAAAATCTACCCCATTTTATTATACAACGATGTTGTTTCATCGAACGCAAGTTAGCGTGCAGAATACGTAAATGATTCTCTCTCTCTCTCTCTCTGTCATACATGCGTAGTCTTACTAGATAAATGATAACGGGCAACCGCTGGTGCTTTCATATTGTTGCCCCTATCTCTCTCTTTCTATGTATATATAAATGACGTTACATGCAACGTGATAATTTAGATATTCCGCGAGTACATAAGCGTAACACCACGCCTCAGCCGCGAAAGGGTTAAATACAGTCTTCTGTGATTAACGTGTGCTTTAAGCGCCATGTAATTATTACATGTAAAGATCGCGATCTTAGAACGAATAATCGTAACAGAGGAGGAGAGAGAGAGAGCGCAAGAGTCGTTTTCTCTCTTCTATGCAGGACTCCAACAACGCCTTCCATTTCCGGCTAGGGTGTCTTAGGCGCACGGGCGCATCGCGCAATCACATATTTCAGCAATTCAGCCACATCAAATGCAACAGTAATATACACGGCGAATGCATGTGTGCACTATCACTGTTGCATTTAATGTGACTGAATTGATGATTTTTTTCAAAACTAACAGTCATGATACAAAAATATGTAAATGCGATGGGTCCGTGTCAGCAGGAAATGGAAGACATTATTGAAGTCCTGCTTCAATAATATGCTTTTTCTTTCTCGCAGCCGAACTGTTGCTACGAATCGACGGTAATGTCTGTAACGTCGACTGGAACTCGTATGCTTCGCAGATCTAATTTAGCCGAAATTCGGAACAATTGTTTGGTAGCGTCATTGTTTTCTTTTTTCTATCGTCCAGGAAAGGGTCGGTCTCTCTCTTTCCGTTCTTTATTCCGCTTTCCATGTTTTCTTTTCTATTTTTCTGTCTTAGTCATTAAATTAAGGACAAACACATTAAGTAGATCGTCACGACACAAAACGAAAAGTACATAAATTAATACAATAAAGGATAGAAAAATAAAAATTATGTGTGTATATAATCGACAATAATATATATATTTTTTTCATAATATAGTGAAGAAATCAATACGTTATGTATCTATATTTATATATATTTGTGTGTGTGTGTATATGTGTGTGTATATATATACACACATATATATACATACATACATATATACATACATACATACATATATACATATATATATATATATATATATATATATATATATATACACATATATACATACATATATATATAATCGTCAAATTTTAATATTTACAATATACGTACTGATATTCGATATTTTTTCGCGGATCCGTGTGTATGTGTGTTTCGCACAATAATGCTCTGTGCCTTTAAAACTATCTAACTCCTTTCTACCGCACCGAGCTATGGCAACTAACGTATTAATGGCAAGTACTTGCTGACGGAAAAATCGAAAGTCGATGCTTCGGGTGGAGACGGTACTCGTGAATCGAGGAGTAATCGAAGTGGTTCGTGGAAAAATCCAAAGAAAACAGAAACAAAAAAGTACATGAGGATTCGTGCCGACACGTGTTCTTTCTCGGTTAATGTTAGTGCTTAAACGAAAATTGCTCGATTTCGAGGAGGAACAACACTCGACAGACACTCGGAGAAATGATTTTCGCTTGCTCGAGTAAATAATTTGATCATTGTTGTTGCTTTTCTCGCGTTTTTCTCTTGTATTTCCATATATTTGCTTTACGAGACGTTTCAATATGTTCTGTTTCGGAACTTCGACTAGCGAAGTGGACTAATTGCGGATAATTTAATTAGTTCGACGATCGGGCTCACGTCGGCTCACCCTCGTCGCTTTTGTCCCGCGGTTAGAAGTCTTTTCGGTTTTACGAAACTCTTTTCGTTCTTTGTTGCGTGACCGCGTGGTAAACAAGGCGTTCGCGCTGCTCTTGTCAATCACGAGGCTTCACAAGTGGGTGAAAAACGATCGACATGACGATCACCACCATCACCACCATCGCTATCACTGTCTTAGTGGTTGACATAGTTCCGTTTAGCGTCAGCTGATCTTACACGCGGCGGTGTGAGAATGAGATGAAACACAAACGGGATTGCTATTGCTGATCGAGTCTTATCGCTAATACATTCAACAACTAGAAACGTAAACGCGCGCAGATATCGTGCTTCAGCCGAATTTGAGTCTCAACTCGTTCCGTATGTGTGTGTGTGTGTGTTTTTATATGGATGTGTGTGTCTTCTCCTTGTGCAAGCCTATTTTTAACTATCTTTCGCGTTTATATGTGCACGTGTATATGTGTTTCCCTTTTTCTCTCTTTTCTTTTTTATTTTTTTTTGCAATTATAGCTCACGAGAGTGTAAGCCGTAAACACCCTCGAATAGACGAAGTATGGAAGCAGTCGGAAGTTATTACGAGTCCACGAATCGCTGCTCGCTTGCTTGCCTGCCTCGTTCTACATACATATATACACGACTGCCGCTGCGAAAACAATGTCCACGGTGTAAAGAATTATTTGACACATTCAAAAGCGCACAGAGAAAAAGAATTTGCCGGAGCAACGGATTTTTTGCCGTCCCCGTTAATCGCTGTGTGCGCACCCAAAATATATACATTGAGAGTAATGATTTTTTGTTCGCAGTAAACAACTTTGTCGAATCGAACGGCGAATTATTCCGTTGTAATAATGAATTAGAGCTAATAACATTCAGTTATCGAAATATCTTTTCTTCATTGGCGAATGAATGAAAATAACTGTTAGAACGAGAAAATATTTCTGTTTGTTAATAAAATCACGCGTTATATATATGTATATATTTTGCACGAGCAGCAAACGGATATTTTCACGCTCCGAGTATTCAAATTCTTTTTTATGTAATCAGCAAGCTAAGCGTTGCTGAATGCTAAAACCATGTATATATATATATATATATATATATATATATATATATATATATATATATATATATATATATATATAT